GGGACGGGTGGGTTATAGATGAGGAGGACTCGCAGTGTTGTTGGGGAAAGGCATTGGATTTGGTAGGGTTTCCCAGGAGGGGATTGAAGGTTTAGGGTCTCGGGTTTAAGGTTTAGGGGGTTTGACTCACAGTTCAGGCTTCTCGGCTTAGGATTTATGGTTTAAGATGATGAGTTAATGTTTCGGGCCTCAGAGTTCAATGTTCCGGCATTAGGTTCAGGGTTCATGGTTCAAGGCTTACGTCTCATGGTTTACGCCTCAGGGTTTAGTGATTAGGGTTTAGGATTTATCGTTGAGGCTTAGAGCTAAAGGGTTAGTTTTTAGGGTTAGGGTTTAGGGTTTAGGATTTATGGTCCAGGGTTTATGTCTAGGCTTCTGGTTTATGATTTAGTGTCTAGGGTCTCAAGGTGGAGGGTTAGGTGTTGAGATTTTAGGGTTCAGGATTTAGGGTTCAGGGTTATTTTCTATTGGCTTAGGGTTCAGATATTAGGGTTTTCGCGGCTAAGGGTTAGGGGTCTAGGTTTATGTTTTAGGGTTTATGGGGTAGCGTGTAGTTGCTTGGGGGCTGGCTCTAGGGTGTAGGTGTCAGCGTCCAGTTCCTTGGTTTTAGGGTTCAGGGGGTCATGATTTTGGATTTAGTGTTAGCTCTTAGCGTTTATGCCTCAGGGTTCAATGTATAAGGGTTACGGGTCATGGTTTAGCTGTTAGGCTTTACGATTTAGGGTTCAGGGTCTTGAGTTTAGGGTTTATGATTTTAGGTCCAGTTTTGAGGGGTTAAGCTCTATGTGCCATGCATTAGTGTTTATGTTCAAGGCTTGTTCGTCTAGGGTGTAGCGTTCATGTTTGGGCATTTAGCGTCTAGGCGTCAAGTTTCCGTTTGAGGATTTAGGTTTCTGGAGCTAGGCTTTAGCATCTAGGTCTATGGGTTAGGTTTTACCATTTAGTTCCTAAGGCTTAGGAGGAATTCCTGTGGCTTATCGTTTATTGAGCGCCTCTAGTCCTTATTTGTACGCTTAACTATTTAGATATTCCTCTTCATCTTCGCATTCTTTTGTTCTCTGTCATCCCCTGCGACTTATGATCTCTTGCTTTACGCTGACGATGTACGGTCCAACTTCTATGATTGGGGATTCAGTTCTATCTTGGTCGACCGATAGGATACCCCTAGGTCGTATGCGTGTCTCATGAAGTTTAAATTGGGGGCGATACGGTTTAGATTCACGGTTTATACGGTTTCTGTACTTTGTACTCTTCAGCCTTATCTTGTATGGATTATGTCGCAATTTGACTTTGTATAGATTGTCCTATTATTTTCTATGGTATTTCCCTTAAGGTGTTTTGTTTAGGGATCATTTTCAGTTCCTACACGTATTAATTCGGGGCGTCATTGTGTTTATTGATTCTTCTTTACCTTTTAACTCGTCCATTGGGGTTGCACTACTTATTTATCAGCCTCGACTGTTTTTGGTGTATTATTTATTCTGCAGCCTGTATGGTTAGAGTCCTATCCTCTCTGTTCTGGGGATTGTTATGACTCTTTAAAGTGTATCCCTTAGGGTTAACCACTTAATGCTATCCGCTCCGGATTTACAATTTGGACTTTAATCAGCCCTTCACAAGCATCATTGCCCATTTTTCCTCTCCAGATTATGGTGGCTCGCCCTTGATTTACTTTATTATGTCCTACTTGGTGTGGGAATCAGGCGCCATTTTCTTGTCTTTACGCTGCTCCGCTCCACTCTCCCTTCAGGTGGTCTGTTAAGTTGTCTGGGAATATAGAAGAAGAGATATATTCGTAGATTCTTTATTATTCTTCCCATATCTAATATAGTCTAAGGGTGGTAATATAAAGATACGGAACAGTCAATGTTTAGACCTTGTTTGTTTACTCTATTGAGATATAGACAAAGGTACAACAGTGTTACTGATCTATTCCTATTTACCTAGTCTTCTATTGTCATCCTATTCCCATAGGATGTATATGTAAAGTCGTGGAGTCATACATGCAGCGATGACGCGCGGAATTATAGAGCACCTATTCATCTATATTAAGGTTAATCCATACTGTTCTAAGATTTCCTGCTCATGAGTTGTCTTTCATATTCAAATGTGTCTCCTCCCCCTCGTTTATGTCACTAGTGAATTCCTCTTAATAATATGGATCTTATGGGAGGGGTACACAGCACGTTTGCTTCTTCACGATTCTTTGAATGTTTTTATTGAAATGTGCCAACACAAGTTGAATGATCTGTATTTATCACTCGATTTCTTGCTTTTACAAGGAACTTTTACAATGGACTTTTGATTACAGATTATTATAGGAGAATAATGCACAACTCCTTCATCCACTCTTAGAGGAGATATGTTGTCGGTTATGAATTACACTTGTGTGTTGGAATTCTTGTGTGCTCATAAAAAATATATGTATGTGTGAGGCCCATTAAATTATTCCCTGTATTTATCTGAGGATAATAAAACTCGCATCGACAGATATCATGGTTATTATTGCTACTAAGGGAAAACTCTGATATATTCATACTATACCTTTCTGTAGTTTATGTTTAATGATGCAGAATAGAGTTCATCACTAATGTATCACCACTTCTAAATACAGGGGAAGGGAGTGAAATAAATAGTATAGATTTGTTTACTGTTTTCCTACAAACAGATCTATGAGAAGGGGTCAGAATGGGAGAATACTAATATTGGAGCGACTACTGCTCTGTTCCCTTATGTACATAGATTTAAATAGCGCCTATTAGTTCGCATCACCCCCATAGCTCATACAGAACCGAGAAATTTGATATTTATACTTACAGTATATGCCGATTATAATCTCATCCCGAACAATCCACTGTCAATATCGAAATTGTTAGATTACTGTTCTGCATTAATGTTGTGTGCAGTCTGAATAAACATGCCCTTTTTATAAAATTATAACTATCACTATCATATATCATACTCTATACTCGCATTATGGAAACATTATTCGGTTGATCCTTTAGGTGTTAAATCACAAATCTATCAGTAACTTATTGCTACTACTTGGAAGAAGAAAGCATATAGTTAGTCGCGAGATAGCTGTTAGCATGCTTATTATTAACCTCCTAGAATATTTGTCCCCAATCTGTGATAACAATATTTTAAATTTTCTTCATTGATTGTCACTTTGCGATATTCAACTGGTATAGCTATCTGTATGCGCATAGAGGAATGCTTCTATCAAAATTAAAAAGAAATTTAGCGCAAGAATGCACCCCCTCTAAAGGAGCAACTGGGCGCCTCTCCTGTTTAGATAAGAATATAACAGACATTCAGTGGGTTGAAAAAATCTTCTGGTGTACGTTTTCTTTACTAAAATGAACTCCTGACTATAATGATAGTATATGAGGAGGCATAGCCCCATTCTGTATAATTTCTCCAGTACTTATTAATTATTTTGTGTATAAACTATTATCCGTAACATTATATGAGGGCAACGGCTGCTTATGTATGAAGAATAGTGGCATCCGGCTTAAATGTGATTATTAGCAATTAGGGAGGATAGGCTAAGCGTCTATTAATATATTTTATTTGTGCGCGTCAACGTAATTATTAATGGAAGTATCTATATTTATTTATAAGGGATGTTTATGAATAAGTTCAATCATGCACTGTCGTACTGACATTTTATGATGCATAGGAAGAGTTTTCATTCTTTCCACTAAATATCTTCTAGAGAAGTATGAGGCTTCTTATATAAACGAAGAACTGAGAAAGTCAATATTCATACTGTACCGAGTCGATACTGTCTGCTGATGTGAAAAAGGATTCTCAAATGAGGAGTAAGGCCGTTGGCATATGTATACAGTAAAGTGCGAAATTCTGGTAGTGACTCAAAGATAGGTTTTACTCTAAGAAAGGAATCATATTAAAGGGGATATTCATAATGTTCTATTATGATACAAGACATAAACACTGTATAAATATACATTTGATTTAGACAAGGGATACCATAAGTATTAATGGACAGCATTATGCACATTCATGTCTGTACTTAGTAATTATAATAATACAATTTTAAGTTGTATGCGTCAGTACCACTGTTGTTATAGTTATATTGGAATATCATTCTATGCTTCGTATGATCAGTATCGGAACCTGGATAAAGTCTTTGGAAACTAATTGAGACTTAATAAGGGAATTATGCATTAAGAACAGGAAAATGAAGAATTTGAATAGTTCAGTTTTGAGAGGAATATATGCTCAGAATGGGAAACCCATTGACATGATTTGAGGATTTCCTTTTAGCTTACACTATAAGGGGTTTATTAAGATATGCTATATATCAATTTAAAGAAGCAACACAATAGGGAACACTGAAGGCATGCAACTACTAATGCTGAGTAATAGTCTAGGGACGTTCTTTCCAGAATAGATGCGGAGTGATTGCGAAAAAATCTGAAACGTATTTAGTCCAGTTATAGGAAGTTATACAGGGGATTCCGGTTCACCGGATGCATTGTAACTATAATTAGTTAGAATATGGTGTTCTTTTTTGAAGAGTGCCTGACGAGATGTGTGTAATTTGAAGAAGTAAAAAAATGCTCATAGGTATCCTTAAATAGGGCGTCCCTATCCGTAGTTTTAACTGTCATAGGACGCCAACTGAGGAAGATATGGAAAGGTAGGACAAATGAGGAACAACTGAATCGTATCTTAGAGTCATCTTTACAGGTAAATTTCGGTAGAAGTTAATATTTTCCATAAGGAGCCTTTTAATGGGAGGAGGATATTCATAAATTCGCCCTCCTTTTCCATTTCCCGGGTTCAATCTTTCTTGATACGTTAGCTTCCGTTTATTGCTGATCTTAAATTGATCATGGTATTTCTGGAAACTATTTTTGCGCGCTATAACTTTAAAAACATGTGCAATGATACCCTTTTAATAATGCATAACAGGAGACGTGCGTGTGCAAGGAAAAACGAAGAAATACAACAGATTAAGTATAACATATATCATAGGGTGTCATTGAACTGTATAGGAGGCGTATATTATGGCATTTATTTCTTTTCGGAAGAGTGCCTCCTCGTTGGAAGCAAATGAGGGCTTGGTTATTTATGGACCGATTTCATGCACTGCTGAGATATTATGAAATAGGAAGAAATACCCTGTTGGAATGGTGTTCTGAATAATGT